AGTGGTTTCCAGGGATGGACAGTGTTATCACAACCAAAGGCTTGAAATGGACTTGTCTCCAGGGAGGGGGAAAAATCTAGTTTCAAATATTCCTGCAACTTTTGTGCTGACCAAGTGTTTATTAATAGAAGTTGAATCCCCAGTGGGGTTTTCTTTGGTTAACTGGTGAGCTTGAAAGAAATAACAATACCAAGAGATTGACTGTAAAATAATTATTCACCATGGCCTGCTGGGCAGAAATTTCTCAACAGGCAGCCTCCATGGCGCCTCGGAGGGAAGAACACAGGAAAAGGGCTGGCTGCAGCCTCGGTGCCTGAGCCCTGGTTATCAGGTAGGGGGAGAACCCACAGAGGCCTCTCTGTTGGTGTGGGGCAGAGCTGTTGAAGCAAAAGTTGGCCATCATGAATTCTGATCACAGGTGCCAGCTAGATCTGCATTTTTCTTGGTCGGCATTTTCTTTTCTCATTCTTTCTTTTTTTTTCCTTCGATCTCGTGGGGGAAACTCTTGACGCCCACCAAAGTGCTCCTTTGCCAGTCAACCACCATCTGGCAGAGGTAACCCCAACCTCAACCGGGTTCAACAGCTCTGTGCCAGTGGTGACATGAACTTTTCTACCTTGTTCTGCTGAATATAGTAAACACACTCAAAGATGCAAATGTACTTGAATTACACATGCATTTGAAGAGTGGGGGAGTCGCAGCCCAGATAATAGCTGAGGGCTTTTTTCCCCCTCCTTTATATTTGTGTGGAGGTCAAGAACTCAGTAATACTGCAGTCCAGGCCAAAACAAACTCTATATGATCTACTACCGATTTCCTTTTAAGTTCCTCTTTTTGCTAGGACTGACTTCCTTTTATTTTACTCCAACTTGCATTAATCCCAGTTATAGAAGTTTCTTTCCTCTCCCTTGCTTCCAACTTCAAACATTTCTTACGTAGGAAACAAGGGGCCTTAAAAAAAAAAAATCTAACTTAAAAAATATAAAGGATACCATGACTTTTGGAATATATTTTGGCAGCCTGCGATTTCAGAGTTCACTTCCGAACAGACGGAGTCAGACGGGGAACTGAAATGCCTACGTGACCACTGTGGTTTGCTTTGAGCCAAACCACCTGCTTATCTGATCTCCTCTGGGAATGAAGTGGTGGACACCTACAGTGGTTACTTAATAATTAGATGCTTTATTTGTCAGAGGCCATATATTCCTGGACCAGTGCTGCCTCTTTTTGTGGGTTTTCGTGATGAAAGCTGGGTGTTGACTGATTGCCCAAAGCGATCAGAGCTGGAGCATGCTCGGGCCCAGTATTTTTAGCTCGGGTTCACGTTCTGTCTCCTCCCCAACAGCAGTTGCTGTCATGCTGTCACTGACTTCCAGTGACGAGGTTGTGCCAGCCAAGCTGACTGGCCGGGCCCCCGAAGAACCCCAGCCAGCAAGAAGGCAGGATGTGGTTAAAATGGTGCGCTGATCCTATCACGGGACTCAGGAAACCTATTCGTAGCTTGGAGATTTTCCAAAAGTCCGTCTGCCCTATCACCCTTCCCATCTTCTCTCCCCTCACGAGGATTTGCAAGCTGAGCTATCAGGACCACTAAAACAAGAAGTGGAGCTCCTCCTGTGATCTTGGCATACTATTCTTAGTTAGCTGAAAAGGATGTGTCGGGCATCTTGCATCTTAGAACTTTCTGGAGACAGAGAAGGTCACCTTGCTTCCTGGAGCGTGTTCTCTTTCACCTCCAGACTTGTCTGTATTATTGTTACGTTATGACTACTGTTCTTTAAGTAGTAGAGGATGACCTGGGAGGCCAAATGATGCAGGATGCCTTCAGAGGGGTGCGGCAGGTGGGGTGGGGGTATCAGGCAAGCAGGCGCCAGGCACTTCTGTGAGCCCCAGTCGTCCTCTGATAAATGGGGATCATAACCATACCTGCCTCGCAAAGTTGTGGGGCATATTGAGGATGTGTGAAAAGTACTGTGCAAAATTTGATAGATTAGAAAAAATTAAAATGTATTATCTGATACATATCTAAAATGTATTATCTGATATTATATTATCAAAGAGCTACTTTTAGGGCTTTACGATATTCCTTTGAAGTTAGACTGATGAGATTAAGATTTCCATTTGGCAGGAGCGCCTGGGTGGCTCAGTCGTTAAGCGTCTGCCTTCGGCTCAGGTCATGATCCCAGGGTCCTGGGATTGAGCCCCGCACTGGGCTCCCTGCTTGGCGGGAAGCCTGCTTCTCCCTCTCTCACTCCCCTTGCTTGTGTTCCCTCTCTCGCTGTGTCTCTCTCTGTCAAATAAATAAATAAAATTAAAAAAAAAAAGATTTCCATTTGGCAGATGAGAAAACTGAGGTACAGAGAACTGAACTGATTGGCTCAAGGTCCTAAAACTTATAGAGCAGTGCTGTCCAATAAAACCAATGCAAGCCCATACATATATATATATATATATATATATGTATATATATATAATTTGGAATTTGTTAGTAGCTGCATTAAAAAAATAAGACAGTGAAATTAATTTTTAAAATTCTATTTTTAAATAGTCAAAATTTTGGGGTGCCTAGGTGGCTCAGTCGGTTAAGCATCTGACTTTGGCTCAGGTCATGATCCCAGGGTCCTGGGATCAAGCCCCATGTTCATCTCTGTGCTCAGTGGGGAGTTTGCTTCTCTGCCCCTCCCCCAGCTCGTCCTCTCTCTTTCTCTCTGTCAAATAAATACATAAAATCTTTTAAAAAATAGTCAAAATCTTATTTCAGTGTATGGCACTAGCCATATTTCAAGTGCTCAAGAACTGTGTCTGAGCAGTAGCTCTCATATTGTGTAGTATAGAATATTTGTTAAGCACACACTAGGAAGATACATGTATGTAAGACATAGACAGTATATTTGAGAAAGTTTGCTTTCTGGGGGCTGAGAAAATGGCCCTAAAAATACTTTCTCTTTGGGGTACTTCCTTATAGAGACCCTTAGGAATCTACTGGACTATTCTTTAAGTCTGTGAGAAAATTCCTAAATCACAAAGTTAGATATTTGGCACTCACTGACCCATGTGCACAAACTCTGTCCCTCATCTTACTTCTCATTGGCCCTGTTGAAAATTATGATCTTAGTCTTATGCAAGGATGAAATAATTTCAGAAAGATCCCACATCTCAATAGGGCCTAGGAAAATTGTCAACCGGAGCTGAGTGATTTTAGTTGGTGAACAATTTTTTAAAAATCAGTGACAAAAATACAGAGCTGCCTGGGGAATACAATGCCTGTTGGCTGAGATTAATGGCAAGATTAATAAATGGATTGCTTGATGAAAAGGCGCGAGAGAACAAAAACCAGTAGAGATTGTGGAGGAGGCTGCTTATTAATGAGCTGTCAGCCCAAAGAAAGTTCAAGAAACTCTTCTGTGTTAAATGCAGCAGGGCTGGCACTTCTAATAAAAATTGGGGGTCCTTCAGAAATTAATTACATCGGCCTTACAGCAAGAATTTGTGGAATTGCGAAACGTAGTGGCACGGACCAGCACGGGCCGTTAGTGCAAATAGAGAAGCTGCAGGAGAAACTAATCATTTTTTTTTCATTGATATGTAGGATATTGTAGTAGCATAATAGCCAGTCAGACCTGAGGATGAATGATGGGGTCCAGATACACACTGACTAATGAAAGGACACCATACTTCGAGCTTGGAGTCACTTCACATTTCATACGTAAGATTCCGTCCTGGAATCTGATTTTCTCCTTATCCTGTGTGCCCGCCACGAAGGAGTTCCAAATCACTTTCAGAGTGATTATACGAACGTCAGAGGCACTCTGCCATGATTTATCAAGCTATGCCTAGAAGGAGCATCCATTTATCCCGAGTTGCCGTGATTTCCTTGTCCTCTCCACAAGTTCCCAGTTTGGCTGGCCTGACAAAACCTTCTCTTAATTAAAATTGGGTGTTGCCTCTGCCCGAGGAAGCAATCTAAAGGCATGCCACCCACCACAAGATGGAGATTTCTAGGTTTGGGGTCTGATATCGCATGTTAGATGTTGCAAGCTGCTCTCTTTCTCTGCTTCCATGAAGGCAGAGGAAAGGTATTCCTCTGTAATGTGTTTAGACCAAGGGTTTGAAGACAGCCCATCCATCTCTTGGGTCTCAAATTTCATAATTAACCATTTCAGTTCAGGACTGAATGTCTTCCCATAGAGCTTGGTAATTAAGGAGTTTTCTGCTAATTGATTTATGTGCTGCTTTTCTAGGAATGAGATAAATATAAGAGGAGAGGAGAGAACAACTTTTGGTTGGTTTACATGTAGTGTACTTTCTCCTTTGGGGTCTTAATGTAAATAATCATCCATTATTTTTCCTTCTTAGAGCTTGATAGAACTGGGGCTGGGGCTTTTTTTTTTTAAACTCCATTCGACTTGTACCAGGATTATACAATTTCCAAAGAGGAATTCCTTCAGTTGTGCATAGACTTTACCATCCTCTTTCTTTTGCTTGTCACATCCTTGAGTATTAGACCATCCACCACCCATCACTCTTTGACTTTTCAGACCCTCATAATCCACATGATACATGTCCTTTTGATTAAAACAACTTAATGGCCTTTTCACGAATAATTAATCTGCCGTCTTTTTACTTTCAGCTCCAGGCTTTTAACTTTAATGTTGAGTTATCCAACCTGTGTTGCCTTTTAAGGGTTCCACTCCCTTTAGCCTCTTCCCCTGGAAGGTTTAATACCTTTTCAGAAACTTCAGTGTTTGCTATACTAAGGTTTTTTTTAAAGGCTTCCAGATTACTCTCACATCCTTCCTGCTCTGTGTGAAGTGAATAACTAACTGTGCAGGAATCAGTGGGATGAAATGAAAATCATTTCAGACTCACAATATTCTGTCATTTTGGAAAACATGGAGGCTTTCGCTGCAAAGAAAAGGTAAAACCCATTGCTTTTTGAAGAAATAATTGTATATTTCTTTGTAGTTATGTGTTTCTAATTCTGGATATTTTTCTAACAGTGACAATTTATACCAAATGACCTCCCAGCTTGAATGCATGACCTGGAATCAGATGAACTTAGGAGCCACTTTAAAGGGGTAAGGTTTTCTCTGTTCCATTGCCCTTCAATAAAAACATACACCTGTTCGAACCATTTTAAAGGTGCTTATAACTCACGAAGAAAATGCAGTTTTAGAAAAATAGTCATGGCTCTCTGTAGAACTAAGCTGCTTTCCTCCTTCCCCCAGTTGGTGGGTTGCGTTCAGTATTAAATTTTCAGGAATATAAATAGGGGATTTTTGTGTGTGTCCGGAACAAGGGAGTTGAGACTACTGAGAAAAAGTAATTTGGCCTTTACTTATTGAGTGTTTTAGAGTTCTTCAAAATTGTGTCAGTTCAACCTCATTTAATGTTTGTTTTGCTACTGATATCACAGATGTTAACTATTACATTATCTTGTCGAGAAATACTTTCAGTTTATAATGCCCGGGATCCAAATTCGTATTTGAGTGCTGATGATTGGGACACTTTTGAGTCAGATGTGCTCATACCCGGTTGTACCAACGGGTTTTCTTCATGCTCTGTAGACGGTCACAACGGGGAGAACACAACATAGGCAGGGGAGATTCTTTGCACCTGGAAATTTTAAAAGGCAAACAGGTGGGACTTGCTTTCAACAGTACAAGAACTCACTGTTCGCTTTCTCAAGTCTGAGTCAATGGGCATTAGCATATGACTCCAGTGACGTCCCCATAATTGTAGCAGGTGCTTTTCTCAGTCCCCTCACTTACTCTTCCTAACAATACTGTAAGGCTTAGGTATGGTTACCCTGTTTTCTACAAATAAGAAATCAAGCTCAGAAAGTTAAGTCACTTCCCAAGTTCACATCATATTAAGTGGTAGAGGTGGGATTCCAAGCCTGGATCTAATTCCAAAGCAGAGGCTCTTTCCAGCCTCCCTATGGTGCCTTCCACCTGGTGGCACTGGAGACTAAGTCCAACACTCTGGACGAGACAACTAGCTTCACATCTCTGTGTATTAGTGGCTTCTCATTGGATTCTGGGATCTGGGAGCTTGCAAGAGCCACGCATGCTCCATTCCCCATTCCCCACCTCTTCTTCTCTTCTAGAGTTGCTGCTGGGAGCTCCAGCTCAGTGAAATGGACAGAAGGGCAGAGCAAGTGAGTGGATGATACGATGATGGCAAAGCCAATGATGTAGGCCTTGTTGACTGGCGCCTGGGGCGATGCAGGAGTTAGCATTGACAGTGGGTAATCAGGGTAGCAGTTGGTGCAATGGGATGGGAAGGATCTCTCCCTCCCTCTCTCTCTCTCTTTCCCCTTCTCCCTCTCTGCCTCTTATTTGTTGTAGACATATTGTGGGCAAAAACGGAGGTGGTGACATTTCTCATCAACATACTCCTAGAAGACAGTTTTTACAACGATGTACTAGGAGTCCTGCTCATTTCCTCTGGAATGTTTTACCAAACACTAAATTTGTGGTATTATACATCTTCCTGTTAGATCAGTCAAATCTTTCAGGCATCTATAACTTGCTTTTTCTCTATTTGCTTTTAAATCTCTCAGGGAGAACTTAATTTTTACCTCAAATCTGTAGACAGAATTCTTACAAGAACTTTTTTGTTGTTGTTCTCAAACATCTGTGTCTTCCCCAGCCCTATAGGCTGCACCCTGGGACATTTCTGTAGCTATTTCTTTGACTTTATTTTCTCTGCATGAACACCAGAATTGGTCTCCTTCTTCTCATCCTTCTTTCTTTTGTTGGCTCAGTCCTGGCTTTTGTATCATCCTTCAGTGATCAGCAGAGTTGTTTTTCAATCTTCCAGGACTTACTGTTAGATCCTTCTTTCCACCCCCAGCTCCCATTTTTTCTGCTATTTTATCCAAATCTCAACTTCCTCTCTCTAGACCCCAAAAGCCTGTTGATGTGAATTTTCTCTCTCCACACTTGCGTCCAAGGGGCTGCTGACAATTTCAGCATTTTGTCTTTCTACCTACTCTCAACTTGTCTGATGTTTCTTGGCTTCTTGCTCTTACCCTTTCTTTCTGGATCCCTTCCTTTTCTTCTCTCTCTTCTCAGAATTCAGAAACTGTCTCCACATTAAATGCCAAGAGCAGATATAACTTGATTGTGAAGTGAGTAGTATGTTTCAATTTTTAAAATTTCTTCATGTTGGAGTACAAGGTTTGTTTGCTTAATTACAAAAATTACAGATACAGAATCTTGGCATGTGTTTGATTCTGGGTCTTTCCATAGTTGAGATAATTTTGATACCTTTTAAGGTCTTTAGACACATGATATTAGTCACTTGCTGAGGAATCAGAAGTTATATTGTGAAGATAAAGCACAAAATGTGAATAGTTTGTTTTGTTCAATCCACTTTAAGGAAGAAAGAAACTAGAAGAGTTTTTATTAGTCTGGTGCTTACATTTTGGAAAAGGATTTCTGAAACCAAAATGTATTTCTTGAATACTATTTTTATTCAGAAAGCTGAATGAAAAGGATAAAATGTCTCTAGTAGGTAGTCCTACAGAAGAGCAACTCTTTGGAGAACAAGGTTGCAATGGTATAGTTTACTAACATCTTTTCTCACGCAGCAGATTTATCCCTTTAGAATGTATTGTAAGTCAACTAATGTCTGCTTCCATTTATGATTTGACCATTTATCTAAGGGTGGATGCTAACATTATTGGGCCCCGTGTAAGGGGCTTTACGTATGTTTTCTCCTTTGACCTCGTGACAATCCTAGGATACTAGGGTATGTCCATCTTTCAGATGAGGAGGGTGGAGAGACTAAGACACCTAATCCAAGTTCACATAGCAACGTGAACTTTATTTTTAATTTATTTATTTTTAAAGATTTTATTTATTCATCTGACAGAGAGAGAGAGCACGTGAGTGCATAAGCAGGGGGAGCAGCAGAGGGAGAGGGAGAAGCAGGCTCTTCGCTGAGCCAGTGTGAACTATAAAATGCTTGTTGTGATGTGGAGATTGACATTACAACACACTGATGTGTCATGACCCACAGTCTGCCTCTCTTATGGCTCTTAAAAATGGCTAATCCTTAGCTCTTTCCTCCAAGCTCCTGAACTTCCTAGAACTGAATTCAGTTGAATCTGTTATTCCAGTAGAAAATTGGGCTCTTCTCCAGGGGAGACACAATCTGGGTAGGCATCATCCTTCTCTCTGATGCCATATTCACTTCCTTTTGTCATGGTATGAAAACACTGTTAATATGGAAAATGTATTTGAGTAAAAATATTCCATGAAGAAAGATAGCTTTTTTTTTTTTAACTTAAATCCATAGCTAGTGTCTTGATACTATTTGAAGTCAATGGTAAGAAAAATCATGGTGACACAGTAGATATAGAACAGAAAAACTGGAGATTTGCCTCATGTTTTGGAGAAAAAAGATAATTTCCATATCATTCATAAAAATGAGACATTATCCCAATTTTTTTTATTAAAAAGATCATGAGCTTCAGATAAACCCCCATTAAATATTTGTTCATGTCTTTTTTCCTCAAAAATTTTACTTAAAAAAGAATCGGTTTTTTTCCTTGTGTCCTAAGCAGGTCCTTGGAGACATCTTTCATTAGATGTCAGGGAGCGGTGTTATTACAATGGGTGGGGATGGGATTTTTAGGGAGAGCATGGGCAAGATGAGATGAAAACATGATATAATGGGGAGGAAGAGATACTTTAGCCCCTGATTTACTCCTCTCTCCTCTTCTATTCATTTTCTGATCTCTGTGTGCCCATTGGGATCAGAACTACTTTTATGACCTCAAATGGGAGAGTATTATATTTCAGTTTAAGTCAGAGAAGGTACTTTATGAACCCACTTTCTTAACTCTGACCCTTTTCATCACTCACAAATGAAACTAGATTTTTTAAGTGGGTCACTGGGAGAGGAAATTGTCAGGGATTCCTTCTAAGCATTAGTCCACCTTTATGAATAATTCTGTTTATGGTGCTTTTGCATTCATTGCCTGATTTTTATTTCTTTAAAAGCCTTTCCTGTGTGTTCTTAACGGCCACTGATTTCCTAAATCTGCTCACAAGCCGCAGCTACTCCGTTAGTCTCTGTTTTGTCTCTTCTGAAGAAAATATCCTGCAAAATGGAGTAACACATCAACCTTGACTGTGGTCCAAGTTATTAAAACAAGGAAGAAGTTATTCTCTGGGGAGTTGGGCAGGGGGAGTGGGAAATCGAACACAATAGAAATGTTAAAGGAGTGCTGAGCAGAATGAATGTCCCTTTGCTGGTCCAAGAAGTTCACAGACTGTTGGGAACACACAGTATTTGACCTGTGGATGGTTGAAAGGAAAAACGAAAGACTCACGATGAGTGATGTATGGTGAAAACAAAGCCGCGCGTTTTGGTAGGGCCAAGGCTGTCGAATCTGGAGAAAATCCCCGCTAGACATGGTCTCATCCCTGAGAACCTGTGCCAAAAGAGATAACTGTCTTCTCTGGCTGGGAGTTCCAATACACAGCCCAGCACCTTCCCATTCCAGCTCATAAACATAAGGTATTCGTCCAAGAGATTTACTTCTTGAAAATAGATAGCCTGCTTTTAAGTGGCTCCTGGAGCTTGGGATGCAGAGCAAAGGTGGAGAGAAATAGTTCTGTGAATATCAGCATTCCTGAGTGAAATCCTCCAGCTCCACCCCCAGCAAAACTTTGTTAATTTCTCCTTTTAAAAATGGTTACCTTTAGGGGCGCCTGGGTTGCTCCGTTGGTTAAGCAACTGCCTTCGGCTCAGGTCATGATTCCGGAGTCCTGGGATCGAGTCCCACATCGGGCTCCCGGCTCAGCGGGGAGCCTGCTTCTCCCTCTGACCCTCTCCCCTCTCATGCTGTTTCTCTGTCTCTCTTTCTCTCCAATAAATAAATAAATAAAATCTTAAAAAAAAAATGGTTACCTTTATGCCAGGAAAGTAGTTCTTTGTCATCCCTTGGATTCCGCTTAGATCTGTTAGCCATACTGCCAAGACAAACATGGGACTCCTGGGTTGGCAGGGTGGGGAGGGAGACTGATTTTGAGCTGTGTCTCCTGTTCCTCGCATCTGGAGTGGACTTAATTTCTTTGCCCTCAGTTCTCACTTCCATGCTACTTGTTTCAACTCTCCTTGGCTGTTCACCTTTCCCACCCTTTTCTCTTTGGGCATGTATTCAATTAATATATGTAACTTTTTAAATTATTTAAGTAATCCATATAAATTATAGAACACCTAGAAAATACAACTATACAGGGAAGGAAACTTCCCCCCCTCCCCCGGTAGTTCAGACGAAATTACTGTTAATATTATGTTGCATACACTTAGACTTTTTTCTTTTTGGGGGGCACATGGTGAGGGGCAGAGGGAGAGAGAGAATCCAAAGCAGGCTCCATGCCAGCACCCAAAGCAGGGCTCCATCTCACAACCCTGATATCAGGATCTGAACCAAAATCAGGAGTCGGACACTTAACCAGCTGAGTCACCCAGGGGCCCCTAGATCTTTTTCTATGCATACACGTACATTTGTGTCCTTTTCTTTTCTATAGCAAATAATTGGGCTTCAACTTCTGTAAGCCATTGTCAAGTTCTGTATTTCAACTATCAAGAGAGTGTTTTGAAAATATTCTTAACTTGTTAAAAAATATTTCATTTAAAAAACTACTTTGGCCTTTCTAGACATCATCTCTACACTATGTCTCTATTTATTTTTAAGCAAGGAGTCATTTTCATCTTGTAAAGGTGAGGGGAAATGACAGGTTTGTTCAGATCAGAAATACAAAGAGACCAAGAAGGTGGTGGTGAAGGGACCAAGATGGATGTGAGGAGGATGATGGACTCAGCACAGAAAGATGAAGTAGGGTTCTAGCCTATTGATAAAGGTGTTTTTGTGTGTGTGTGTGTGTGTGTGTGTTGGAGGGGGGAGAAATATAATAGGTGTGTGGCGGATGTCTTTCATGACCTAAAGGAATATTTTGCACCTCTCATGTCTGTGATCCCATCTTGTACCCTTCTGAGACCCTCTACTCACCATGAATCCTTCTTCCTATTATTTACCCAAGAAAAAAAATCATAACCTCCAGCTAGGAAAATATTGACATGGAAGCTACACTAGTAAAAAGTCATCTGTATAAACACTTCTCTGAATTGAGGGTCTGT